AGCTTAGATATGGGACGTCAATGAACAGATCATTCTATATTCATACACAAAATTAATTGCTAATTATCCTCTTGATATTTACACACTAATACCTATACAAATATCCCTTCCTCCCACATTTTTAAACTTGACGCGAATTCCATTCAATGTGCGAATCTTCCCTTGTTACTTCTATAAAGAAGTCACGTGAAATTGACACGAATTTTAAAGCAACAAAAACCAACAGTATTATAGGCCTATCGGGCAGCTTGTGCGACCGTCTAACTCGATTCTTTTCGCTGTCAATCGGCCTTTCTGCTTCAGTTAGTCCCTTTTGCTGGGGTGTGTGAGGCGTGAAGTGAGCTGCTTAAAAGTGAACAGGCTTTTTGTATTCGACCTGCCGCTGTACCGCTGTTAAGAGATAAGATGCTCGAATATATGTAGTTATGCTTGGCAGCAAGAAAAGTTAATTAAATCCAATACTCTAGGGTAAGGCTTTCATTACCGCTTTTAGCGCATTTCACGTTAAAGTTTGTTTACACCAAGATTCCACCAGAAAATCACAGCAATAGTTTGGGAATTATTTCCCCTACACAAAGAGCTGAGATGAGCAAGAAAAATCACATGAACAATTATTGTCTCAGGGGTGTCTATAAGAGCAATCAGAAACTTCCGAATATTGGGGGATTTCAGAAACATTAGTACCGATGATAAAAAATAACGGGAATTTCAGAAACATTGGTACCATGATTGAGAAATAACGTGAATTTCAGAAACATTAGTACCGATGATAAAAAAATAACGGGAATTTCAGAAACATTAGTACTGATGATAAAAAAATAACGGGAATTTCAGAAACATTAGTACCATGATTGAGAAATAACGGGAATTTCAGAAACATTAGTACCAATGATTAAGAAATAACGGGAATTTCAGAAACATTAGTACCGATGATAAAGAAATAAATCGCACCGTTGGTTCAAAAATAAACTTTCATGTTTATCAGGTTCGTTAACTTCGTATTGGGGTTTGAAAATAAAGAAAGAACACGTGAAAACTTGTAGCTTAAAAACTCAGTATCAAAAAAGTATTTGTTGTTTTATTTATCTATTTGTCAAAGCTTATCTTCATTAGATGTTTCCCTTTAAAAAAAACACAATGATCGCATATAATATCAAACAGTTTACTTTGAAATTTCAATTTTCATTTTTTCTACATAGAGGTTAGAGCTACCAAAAGAAATATAGACAAAACGATGGACAGAGATCTTGCATCTCGCGACAATGAAAAATTATTACCAGTCTTTCAGCTAAACTATGGATAAATATAAATAAGTGTGTTTGTTTTTCTGTAATTAAGCACAAAACTACACAAAACGCTATCTGTGCTCTGCCCACCACGGGTATCAAAACCCGGATTCGAGTGTTGTAAGTCCGCAGACATACCGCTGTGCCACTGGGGGCAAATACGTGTGACGTATGAAAGCACGGACACAAGAAGAACTATACATAAAATCCAGTAGAATGGAGTATACATTTCAACAGAGATGTGGTTTGGAAAAGTTGTATATACATCAGAATTGAATTCTGATATTTGGCCAACGACTTCGTTACTAGAGAGAACATGAATGATATATAACTTTAATATATGTATATGATTCAATTCCTTCTATTTACTACCGAGAATTAACGTAATGTCAAAACATTTATTTGCTTCATCTCAAAAGAGGCTTTTCAAAATGAATCCAGCGAAGATGATGAACGATGAGACTGACTCTTGTAGGATGTAGATATTAACTTATCTGTTTTATAATTGATTTTTGGAAATAATTTAAAGTAATTTAGTTTAAGAAGCTAAAACTAAGATACTTATATAATTAGTATCAATTTTTATCAAAACGTTGTATAATGTACTTAGTATATTAAATACGATGATAATCTGTAAACGTGCTTGATTAAAGACTAAGCAAATTACACTAATTAAAATCGATCCACTGCTCCAAGTTTACCTAATTCAACCAAATATTTCACTTCTTTGAAATACCGTATTTTTATGTGTATAAAACGCGCTTTTACCCCTAAATTTGATGTCAAAATCTGCTTGCGTCCTATACACCGAAGGTATGAATAACATATATGCATATATATACGATATACACAAGCCAAGTGTAAATATATTTAAATAGGCATACATAGTTTAGTTCAATTGAATGTGTTATTTATAACAATAATAGTTTTTTTTCTTTTAAAAACATAACTATTTATAATGCTCCCGAAATAATAAAAAATACATTACAGTGAAAGCAATGAAGATTTTGTAGGTTTTGAACCAAATTAAATAACAGTAAACTTTTTTTTATTTACGGTATTTTCTTATTTTAATGTTTTGAGCTCTTTTGTGTTTAGAACAATATATACTAATTTTTAAAGTATCAAACTGAAATTGTGTTCAATAAAAATCTTTCAAATGCGACTGTAGCTTTTTTTTTTGTCCAAAACTTTGTCTTCAAAATAAGGGTGCGTCTTATATTCGGAAAAATACGGTATATGGATTGGAAAACCTTACGTTTGATATATTCTATTAAACATACCAAAATTTCATTAGTTTATAACACCTGCTGTAGGTCAACATGTGGATATGTGGTATGTGGATCTCACATTTTAAGACTGGGATTTTATTGAATGGATTCCATCTAGAAGTATCTGATATTCTAATTATGTTTCACATTTATACGTAGGCCTTGTAAGGCGCCATAAAAAATATTTTTTGTATTGCTTGAAGTTAAGCACGAAGCTACACAAAGGCATATCTGTGCTCTGCTCACCACGGATATCGAAACCCGGATTCTAGCGTTGTAATTCCGCAGACATAACACTGTGCCACTGGAGAGCGCGAAGAAAAAATAAGCTTACCGCTAAGCCACAGGGGAATAGTTGAATATATCTAATGTTTCGAAAACTATTCAATATTCTTCTCTTTACAGTCAGCCTCCCCAGTG